CTCCTCCTCCTCCTCCTCCTCCTCCTCCCCATTGTTATACTTCTGCTCGTCCTCTTCCTCCTTCTTCTCCCTCTCCTTCTCCTCCTCATCCTCCTCGTCCTCTCCTTCCCCCTTGAGCTGGTACCTCTCCACGCTTCGAAATGCGGCAAGCAAGTCCCTGGCCCCAGACCCCCGAGCACGCGACTTTTCACGGCGTGGAACCTCGGCGGTCTGGATCCAGTCCCTGGGGCCAGCGTCTCATCCCGAGTTGCTATCTGACGGTCCTGGGGGCCGGTAGTCGACGAGTGCGTTCCACTTCTCGCAAAGTGCCTACTCGCAAACGTCCGAAAAAGAATGCGTTTTCCTTTTGTGTGAAATGTCGCAGATCCCCCGCGGCGGATCCAGGTCATTTGCGAGTAGTTACTTTGCGAGTATTGGAACGCGCTCGTTGAGGTAAGGGCCCCAAGAGGCCGAAAGTAGAGAAACACCTCGCGTTGGTTCGTGCACGACCCGAGGGGACCTGGGGTCGGCGCCTCGATGCGCACGTCGGCCACGCCAGGGCGACGCGCACGCTTGGAAACCTTTTTTTTTATAGTGTGCGCTTTCAGTCGGGCATGTCCCTCTATAGGAGGGATCTGTAGAACTAGTCCAACTATCGCCAGGGGACCATTTGTTCCCCACATCCAAAGTGGGGTTCTTGTTTTCTCTGCACACCCCGCGCAGGAACACTCACCCCACCCCCTCTCCTCTTCTGCCTTCGCACACTCACTCACTCGCTCACTCATGGTTCTTCTTGTTCCCCACATCCAAAGTGGGGTTCTTGTTTTCTCTGCACACCCCCGCGCAGGAGAGAGATCTCACTCACCCCCTCTTCTCCTCGCACTCATTCACACACACATCATCATCACTCGCACTCTCTCACACGCTCACGAACATCATCGTCATCATCGGTATCGGCATCATCCTCATTCAAACATCATCATCGCCACCACCACCCACAATCAATCATCATCCTCTTCACCACTCATATTCACCACCACTCATCATCCTCATCCTCATCATCGTTGAGTAAAGTGTGAGGAAGTCTCAGGCGGGAGCCCCCTCCCTATGGGGCCCGCAGATCATGTTGGTAATCCGAGCGGGTCATCGGAACCCTGTAACTGTCGTCACTTTTGGGCTCCCACCAGCCTGGAAAGGGATGCGACTCGCGCGCGGTCCGGCCTCGTCTGTGTGAGTGAATTTGGGAGGAAGTCTCAGGCGGGAGCCCCCTCCCTATGGGGCCCGCAGATCATGTTGGTAATCCGAGCGGGTCATCGGAACCCTGTAACTGTCGTCACTTTTGGGCTCCCCAGGCCTGAAAATGGAGGAAGTCTCAGGCGGGAGCCTCGTCTGTGAGTGAATTGGAAGGAAGTCTCAGGCGGGAGCTCCCTCCCTTTGGGGCCCGCAAAATCATGTTGTAATCCGAGGGGTTCATCGGAACCCTG